GTGTCTCAAAAAAAGTCTCGGCTGAGGAAAAACAATGGTATCAGATTATGCACGCATTTAAAACTAAGCAGATGTCATAAAAATCCAAGAGACTGTTACACAAATATTCAGACCTATACAGTGAAATACAAAATGAAATAGTTGAGGAAGTGTTTATCTTTTGAAAAAGTTTCTCCAAGTTTTTAGCTTGTAATTCGTGGCAGTTACTCTTGGAGAAAAAAGACTAGATAGAAAGAAACAAATGGAAACTGGTGATTATTTCTGCAGAAAAGGCCCCACCAAGGCCAGGGCGTTTTCTAAGATGCTTTTGGCTATATCTTGTTTGCAAAATTTATGAAAATAATCACAAAAGCAATGAAGAGTATTTAATTTCTCCTTTTCGTGAGTTGTCCCTTATTTTGGTTACACTTCAGCAGCTCACCAATTGTTTACAACTATGAAAGGGAGGGGCACACTAGGTACTGGTGAAAACTAGAGAAGGAAAGCAAAGACGCACCGGTACTTCCAAAATTTAACCCAAGAAAATTAATGTTCAAAGTCTTCTTGGCATTGAAAGCTTTGATTCCTAATTAAAACATCCTCCTTCCTGAATACTGCTACGTTCCTTTTCCCAATGGGATGATCCACAGTTTTCCTTTTCTTTAACCTCTGAAATGAACAAATGTTTACTCACAATTTCTTGAAATGTTATGTAATTTTGTTGTAATTTTATTTTTTAAATCCCCTACTGCCCTTTTTTTTTTTATTATGTGAAACTAGACTAAGGTACTAATTTTATATATGTTTTAACTATAACAGACTCATCATTTCTGATATTCAATTGTCCAAATTGAATGGGTTTTATTAGGTGGATTAAAATCAACAACTCTTATAAAATAAAACATGATTCCCTAATATACTATGAGTATGTGATAGCATATTATATTAACATATTATAATAACTATTCTTTATTCAATTAGGTCAAATTAATGATTGGGGGCAGCACATAAACATTCATTTGCTTCTATATTGATCTTTTTTTTTTTTTTTTTTTAAATTTTTTTTTTAAACGTTTATTTTTTTTTGGGACAGAGAGAGACAGAGCATGAACGGGGGAGGGGCAGAGAGAGAGGGAGACACAGAATCGGAAACAGGCTCCAGGCTCCGAGCCATCTGCCCAGAGCCTGACGCGGGGCTCGAACTCGCGGACCGCAAGATCGTGACCTGGCTGAAGTCGGACGCTTAACCGACTGCGCCACCCAGGCGCCCCCTATATTGATCTTTAATATAGCATGCTTTCAATGAAATAGAAAGTAAAAAATATGAGTGGATATGATACAAATTTGTTAGTTTTAAAATTCAACAATTTAAGAATGGTGTTCAAAGAAAGAAATATATTTCTCTGTTCTCAAAAGTGTAGTTCAGGGTGACTTCCCTAACATTTCTGAGAGATCACTCTTTTCCTCACCTTGACTCTGTGACTGACTCAGTGACTCAGACATTTCCCACTTCTGTCTGGTGTCATCATCTTGAGTAAATAAAGAACAGAGAGAAGGAAGATCAAGAATGAGGACCTCAGTGTAGGACAAAGAACCATACAACCATATACTGAAAATTTAGTCAAAATAGATGAGTCGATATAGTCATCAGTGTGCAACATGTGGTTACAGACGTTAGTTGTCTTTAGTTATTTCATAGTCATCAGGAAAAGAATTTACTGGTGACAGGTGTTTTAAAGCAACTCATTCTCTATTTTGATGTTATGTTCTCTCTCAGACTCATCCATATAGGCATATATGCTTTATATTTTACTTGGAATCTTAGTCTTCTCTGTGAATTTTTTTCGGCTTTGATTTCTTATGAAAATAGACATACAATCATGAGTTTAGTGTTTTAAAGAATCAGGATGGAGCTCATAGAAAATGAACTTTTCTGTACTCTGCCTTACACTATTCTCTGTGTGTTCAATGGTAGTGTGGAAAATTTGAGAATTCAGTGGGTCTGCTACATGTAAGTAGTTACCTAGAGGTGGAGTGGTTACAGAAAGAAGTGGGATGCTTAGGAGGGGCTAGAAGTAGCATTGGGAAATGTGGGTAGAATCTGTACAAATTTTGTGGGCTAGATAGAATTCTGGTGGTTGGGATGTTTTTTCAAACTGTTTTCAAAGTTAATTTATATTGTTTCTGGGAGTAAATTCTACCCCTGTTACATATCTTACCATCTTTAAAATGTCTTAAAAATTATTTTTCTTCCTTCCACTGTCACTGATCTATTAAGACGTGACAGCAAGGTTTTTATGATATTGCTAAAAATGTGGTAACAATGCAAACTCAAATTGTTTTTCAACTTCTATTTTTAAAAGAAAGCCAGTTATTTCAAGACAGATCACCTACTGTAAAATAATATTTAAAAAAAGAAGCCCTTACCATCTGGGGTATGATACATTTGCACAACAATCTTGGGCAGTAAATAAAAATCTGGTCCATTTAAAAGTATCTTTGCTCAGGCGCATCCTATCAAACGGGGCTGTTTTATAGTCTACCTTGTATTTCACTGCTTGCTAACTCTGTAAGCAAACAGAATTTGTTCACAGGGTGAAACACATATTTATGGTCCTGAATAAACTGTTCAGATTCAAAAACTATTTGTGTGACAGTGCTAGACACAGGGATTCTGCAGCCCAATGGGATGTTTGTAGACCACATTTGCATATCAATGCGCAGACCCCTTTTAGGAATACTGCTGCTTCATGACAATGCTGTTGTCTGAGGTCTGGGGGAAAGAAAACCCATAAAAGTTTGGACTCACTTTTCAATGCCCTCGATTCTTTTCTTGTGCTTTGGAAAACTGTGAAACAGGGTCACCAAGTTCCATTCTCCATAGTTTTATTATGTTTTCAATGAAGCGATTGAACCTGCACAGAACCCAGACAGACAGACATCACAAGGCCACTTTGTGGAAAGGCAGCTTCTTTAGAACCTTGAAGCTAAAGCTTGTCTTCCGTGTTTGTGGATTTGGGGCCAGTGCTCTGTTCCTTCAGTTTAAAGAACCAAAGGGAACCAAAACCTTGAAGCAAAATACTTAGAACCCTTTTGCCTGGAGAAAAAATATTAAGTAAAGGTGTTTTTTTTTTTTTTGTTTGTTTGTTTTTAAGCTACTGAGAATCCAACCTAAGAACATACAGTTGTTTGAAAGCCAGGCCATGGATGTGGAGGGGATTTTATAAGGTGACGTCATTTTCTACCTGGCTGACATCTTAATGGCTGTCAGTCCTAATCTTTGAAATGGAATCAAACAGAGCCTGTTTGAGGTTTCATTTGGAGAAAGAATTTCTTATTTTTTATTTTTGTCTGACAGTCCTTTGGTCTTCCTGAAGGAAATTTTAGCAGAAAGTCTTACCTTATATATTTATACTCTAGTTGAGTTTGTGTATTGCAAAGCTCTAAAGAAGCGACGATAAAAAGAAAGACATGTTTTTGTACTACTGCTTTTACCCACTAATTCATATTTGAAAACATTTTGTGAGTGTGAATGCTAGGATAGCAGATGTCAGGCTGAGCAGGATTTCTTCTTTACAGTTTGACTTGTGATATATTTAACACACAACTACACTGTATTGTGTAGTCTAAAATATCCTTTTTTCAAACCCACACCACTTTAACTATGATGCATGTAGTTTTGCCCTGTGATTTTGTCATTAATTCGCTTTTTCCATGTAATACGGCATATTTTTCCTGAATATTCTTTTGTAGTTGTCTCAAGAATGATTTATACTTCATAAAATTGTCTTGAACATAGGTAGTGCTGTGTTACCAATATCTCAATTGCTTTGTCCAGAGCTCTGAACAATTTCCTGAGTCACCTCCTATTACCTATCTTACTACTTCTCAGCTTCAAAGGAAAAAAACCAAAAATCTATTTGATAAAAGAATTTTCACCTGCTACAACTATGTAGGTAACTCCAAAAATGATCATTTTGACCCAGATTTCTGTTTCAGTAGCTACACTGTCCGTTTGATATTTCCATTGGTTGTACATATCACAGACTTGGTAAGTTTAAAACTAAATGCTATAGATTGTTTTCCTGTGGTGTTTTTATCATCCTATGTCCAAAATCCTTTGACACTCTTCTCTTTAAAAGAGTGTGTTCTGAACTTAATAATTGCCTCTGATGAATAGAATGTGTCAGAAGTGCCATGTGTAACTTCTAAGGCTAGGTCATAAATGACTTGGCTGCTTCCACTTTGCTCCTTCTTAGGTCACTCATGCAGGGAAAAGCAAGCATATTGTAAGGACAGTCTCCACAGTCCATGTGGAGGGCAACTGAGGGCTTTTAGTCACAGCCAGCAACAATGTGCCAGCCGTGTGTGTGTGTGTGTGTGTGTGGATCTTGGAAGTGGATTGCTTGTGTGTATCTTGGAAGGAGATCTTCCGGCTTTTAGATGGTAGTCAGCCTTTAGATGGTAGTCCTCACTGACATCTGTCTGACGCAAGCACATGAGAGACCCTGAGCCAGCACCACCAAGCTAAATTGTTCCAGAATTCCCAGCTTACAAAAATGATCTCAGATTGTAAATATTGTTATTGCATGTTGGGGTCATTGTTTGTAGAGCAATTGTTAGCTGTTCTGCCACTCTTCCGACATTCACTTCTTCTCCTATATCTGAAGAATGTTTAAGTCTCATGGTTTCTTACTTTGATGTGATTTTGGTGTCTGTCCCTTCTTTGAAATTTGATTGTCATGTTACCCCCATTTAGTTCAGACTATCACTTCCCAGATGGCTGCAGTGTTAACCTTTTAACCAGTCTTCCTGCTTCCCTTTTTTCAGTCTCTGTAGTGGACCTATAAATTATTTTTCTCTGAAACACATGGATGCCATACATTTCTTCTGCTCAAAAAACCTAGAATTTTTCCATTTGCCTTACAGATAAAACCTTGTTTTTGTTACCGTGGTATATTAGATTCTTGTTCAGAAGTATTCACACCTCCTCTCTTGACTTTGCTCTGATCTCACCCTAGACTTGTTTTGACCTCATGCTGGGCAGAGAGTACTTGCGACCCTTGATGTTAGACTTGGACATGTGACTTACTTTGGCAATAGAATCATGGCAGACACAATGCAAATAGAAGCATGGAACGCACTTAGGTTACTGGGTTTGCCTAATTGTGTTTCTGCCACTCCCATGAAAGGCACATCGTCCACCTAGACTGCTGATCCAGGGAAGATGAGAAATGTGGAGCATATGTGAGCCCAGCACAGAGCAGAGCCCCACCCTGCCAGATCTGCAGCTTGAAGCAGAGCTACCTACCTGTGCTCACGCCAGATCACCCAACACTCACCCAACCCAGTGAGAGTAAGTAATTGTTTCAAGCCACCGAGGTTTTGCAGTGGTTTATTATGCAAGAAGCTCTATTACCCTAACTCCATCTCATCTTTTCAAACGTATCATTTGTTTCTGTCAATACCCCCTGTCTGTTTCATTTTTGACACAGCTTTTCCATTTTTTCGCATATCCTTTAAGGTCTTTTAAATGATGATATTTGCTAATTTACTAATAACTTATTAAGCTGTAGTATTATCACTTTTATGACAGCCTGATAGAAGCAATATTATTTTCATTTTAAAGGTGAGAAAGCTGTGGCTTAAAAAGGTTTCAAAACTCGTCCAAATTCACATGGTAAATAAATCAAGAATGGGATTTAAATTCAGGCCTTTGTGATTCAAATATCAATACTCATCGCTAAGATTCTATTTCTTATTTTAGACACAATGCCTTTCTTTTGACAACTCTGGTCCATAAATTATGCTAACAGTTTTCAATTCCAAATGCACTTAATTTTCCAGCACTAAGCATTTTATTTTTATAATCATTTTGAATGGTTTTTCCTTTAGCATTTTGTAGTTAACATCACACATTACGGTCTTTTACTCTATTCAATTCTCACAATGTCTTTTTGAGGAAAGAATGATTATTTTCTCCATGAGGAAAATGAGAATCAGAGGTTGAATAAGTTGTTCCTGGTCATTCAGCTATATATGGTAGAATTGAAAGAGAGCGATTATGGCTGAGTTAAGAGTCCCCCACCAAATTCAAATGTTGAAGCCCTAATCCTCAATGTGATGGTATTTGGAGATGGGGCTTTCCATGAGGTAATAGTTAAAGTTAAATGGGTTCATAAGGGGGGGGGGGCCCTAAACCCATAGGACTGGTTTCCTTATAAGAAGAGGAGGAGACACCTGAGCTCGCTCACTCTCTTTGTGCACACAGAAGAAAGGCCATATGAAAACACAACGGAAAGACAGCTGTCTACAAGCCAACAAGAGAGGTCTCATTAGAAACCAACCCTGATGTCACTCTGATCTTGCACTGCTAGCCTCGGGAACTGTAAGCAAATAAATTTCCGTTGTTCGAGCCATCCAGTCTGCGGTATTTTGTTTTGGCAGCCCTAACAGCTTAATACAAGGTCGAAAGTTTTCACTCCTAACGTCTCCATCCTTAGCTTCTTACATTTACTCTACATGATTTTAATCATTAGCTCTCTGAAAACAGTGAAATAGTTTTGTATTCTCTACCATTTTTATTTGTATAGTATATCCTTAAATATTTCCTAGGCTCAGAGCAGATTTAAAAGTGGAAGGGGCCTAAGATGTCAACCTGTCCTCTCATGTACAGCTGAACAGCTTAGATCCAATGAATTCCTAAGACTTGGCCAGAATGGCCCTGCAATTAGTGAAGAGCAGAGAATGGAATCTAGGACCCACCTCCAGCCCCTGAGATGCAATGTTTTGATTACTTCACCAGTAGATAGGGAAATTGAATGTATTATCATCGCACTGCTATTATCATCTTTAATTTATATTAATATTGTATGATGGAACCCAACTCTACAGAAACTGAGCAATTGAAATTAAATCCTAATTAGCGTAAGAAAAACTGATACCACATGATACACCAAAAAGGACATAGAAATCCAGGATTCTCAAGGAATGTGACAAAGCAAACATATTTAGCAAACATATTCTTTTGTTTCTTATTGATTTGTTAAGTGAAACATTTTAAAGTGTTATATTTGCGTGTGTGAGAGTGAAAAACAAAAGCATGTTTATTTGGTTAATCTAATTGCATGTAATGTCCTTGTTTTTATTTTCCAGAAGAGAAACCCAAACACAGCAGCCCAAGGATATGTCAGAGGCATATACTTATGTTTTCCCATCTATCAAATCAGGCTGTCCAGGTGGTTTGCTGCTCTGTGGTAGGTACAAAATGTGTAAATGACTGGAGTTGGAACAGAAATCATCAAAACCCCTGTAAAAATGATGAGAGGATCTTTTGCTATTATCAAGAGCTATTTTAAATACTAAATCAAAAGGATGCCAACTAGTGGCCTTGTTGATAGTCTCAGTAGAGAAGGAAATGATTAAATTAACATGAAGCTTCAAATCCATTCCCACTTGGTAGAGAGGTCTGAAATTGATCATCACGGTGGCATGTGAAGACTTGCACAGGTGCAGTTGGGGTGCCTTTGTTTAATGGATAAACAACATTCACAAGTTGATAGTGCAGTCTCTTATTTTTACTCAGTTATGCATCCAAAATTTAGATCAATAAGTTAAATCACAACATTTCAGCCTTTCTTTCTAATTCAAAGATGAGGGTTGAATCACGTTCACATGCAAAACCACTAGAAAGGTGGCTTGGTGCAATAGAAGGGGCTGGAAGGAGACACAGGTCATTGGGATCCAACCTCTTGCATTCCCTTGATGCATTCTGTGTCCCTAAAGGGTTCCTTAGCTGTATGGAATCTATTTTCCTTGTCTGTACAATGTGCACAATGAAGCCCTTGCTTACTACAGAGCTGTGTGGTGAAAATCGGGTCTAAGAATACCATTTACATTTGTATGATCTTTTGTAGCTCATGAAATCCTTCCTGTCTGCTTTTTTTTTTCTCCTAATTTATTTTTCCCATTTCAGTGATAGAGAGGCTCAGAGGTTTTATGTGCTTAAGGTAAGGAATTAAGAATAGAGACTCTTTGTCCTTGTCATTTAATAATGCTCTCTGGCTAAATGTGCAGATGAGCACTAGGTATGTAAAGAAGAAATATTAGGCCATGACAGCTCTAATTTTCATAAATTAAAAAAAATTTAATGTTTTATTTTATTTTTGAGAGAGACAGACACAGAGCATGAATGGGGGAGAGGCAGAGAGAGAGGGAGACACAGAATCTGAAGCAGGCTCCAGACTCCCAGCTGTCAGCACAGAGCCTGACGTGGGACTCCAGCTCACAGACCGCAAGATCATGACCTGAGCTGAAGTCGGACACCTTATCGACTGAGCCACCCAGGTGCCCTGACAGCTCTAATTTTTAAAATAGTCTGTTGACAATCTAAATAATAACATTAGGCTTAATTTTAAGAACATATAATATAACTTATTTTCTTTTTTTTACTTACCCCAGTTTTGATTGAGTAGGTTACTGAATTTACATGTTTCATTTTCCACATGCATAAGATGGGCATACAAATATGCAACAAATGAAATGTTGTGATAATTAAAGGAAAGGTATGAAATGATGTAAATGCTTAGAACTTAGCATATGTTAAGGATTCAATAAACACAATCATCTTTATTGTTGAAATTGGATAAAGAAAAATTACATGTGTATGGGATGGATTTTAACCCTGGGAAACGACTTGTTACTGAATAACTCGTTTCTGGTAGTTACGTGAAATTGCCTTTACATTCCTGTGACTGCTTTGCTGTGAAGACAGCCCTGAGTAGGGGATGGTGGTAACTTGCTGGACTGTGTCCAGAGGTGAGGGTCCTGATTGCCATTTTGTCACTGATTTTTTTAACCTGCTCACTTTCTTATCATAGCCTTGATTTCTTTGTATAACAAATAAAAACACATAATTTTGTGCTTGCCTTACTTAAGATTTATGCACTGATTCATTCACTTGCAAAACAAAGGGGCAATGTGCTAGAAGTTAAAGAGACAAAGATTAAAAAGAGATAATCCTTGACATCACAGATTTTAAAATCTAGTAAAGGAAGTTAAATCTGTAAAGTGAAAATTATAGGAAAGTGTCCTATATATTCAAGAATTGAGATATGTGCAAATGTAGCAGTGAAATAGAAGTAGGAGTAGGGATGACTTTTTTTCAGTAAGATGGTATGGAGATATCTTTAGAGTTGGTTTCTGAGAAAGGAAACATTTTGAATTGAGTCTTAAAGGACAGGGATGGAAGGAAAGATTTATAGACAAAAGGGCCAGTATGCAAAACTTTACAGAAACTTATAACTCAAGATGTGTAATTTTAGGATTCTGCACAGATGTATTTATAATGATTTCCTAAAAATTCACCAAACCAAATTCAGAAATTAAAAATAAATTAGGGAGATCAGAACGAAGAAACAGGGGACTTGAGATAAAGTTCAGAGTGATTACTTGTTTTTATTTTTTGTTTTTTGAATTCTCTATTGAAGAAAATATCCATTGGATTTCTGATATTTTTCCTAAGATACACTTAAAACTATGATCATAATAACCAATGGCCTAATAAAACAGACCTGTTGGGTGATATGGATGTTTAAAAATTAGCAAAATACACTTTGTCATATAGCAATTTGCAGCCTGACTGGGGAGAGAAGATATTTGCATTTAAATACACAAACCACACATGCACACATGTACACACACACATGAATTTACTGAATACCAAATAATCATTAATAAGAACAAGTGCTTTTTAGGGTTTGCAAGAAGCATAATCAGCAAAATCTTCCTGATGGAGATGGGCTGTATGCTGGGTATTTGAAGAATAGGGTTCATTTCAGTTTCAGTAAAAGGGAGGAGAGAACAGAGGAGAGCCCATTCCACAGGGATGGAAAGTGCAATGTATAAAGTATTTTGATTTGGTCAGAAAATATGTTTGTACAAGAGTAGTGGGAGAGTTGAGGTCATGTTATGCATCAGTGATCTATAAATGCTTCACTAGTAATTCAGACATTTTCTTGTAAATAGTGGGAGATCATGATAGGTGAGTATATGAACTCATCAATGGTAGGTTCTTTTTAAAAATCAATTCTTGGGTGCTCCTATATGTGTATAAGGAACACTCTATTATGGGGCCCCTAGGTGGCTCAGTCGGTAAAGCATCAGACTTTAGCTCAGGTCATGATCTTGATCTCATGGTTCATGAGTTTGAGCCCTGTATTGGGCTCTGTGCTGACACCTCAGAGCCTGGAGCCTGCTTTGGATTCTGTGTGTCCCTTTCTCTCTGCATCTCCTCTGCCTGCGCTCTGTTTTTCTCTCTCTCAAAAATGAATAAACATTAACAAAAATTTTTTTAAAAAGAAACACTATATTATAATAAATCTTTCAAGAACCTATTCACTGTTAACTCTAGCAAAAGTGTTACATATTTAAATACTACTG